TTTTCACAGCAAAAAAGTCCTTTATACTTTAGCAAAGTTAGTAGCCTAGCAACTAATAGCTGACCTTAACGCAGACAGGATGCTTTTCTTAGGACTGTGATAGCTTGTTTGCTTTAGGCTCTGAGGCCTAGTCTCACCCACACACATTTGATCAATTTCCTAGCTTCTGTGGCTCCCAATATATCTTTTTTGTTTTGTCAGAGATGGGTGTTCCACTGCAGTTAGAGAAGTTGTATTTGGAGAAGTCTTTAAAAGACCTTTTCATACTTGATGCCAGTCCGAAGATAGTAGGTATTAGAATTCAGCAAAAATAACCCAATATAGTCCAATAATCTATAATAGTAGTGAATTATCAGCACAACTAGTAATTGTCAGAAGTTGTTGACTTGAGCCTTTTACAGCTCAGCACATTAATATGGCATTACTTTTTATACCTCAAGGTTATACTTTTCTGCTGGACAGTTAAGATCAAATTAAAGCAAGACCTATATAACTAAAAATATAACTTTTGCTATCTGACAAGATCAGTCAAATCTCCTCCGGATTTATCCTTGAACCATGTACAGCACCTTGTAGATCTTTTGTCAGTGTCAGCCATCTGGATGAGTCATGAGCAATGGCTGTGACTCATCCACATGGCTGACACTGACAAAGGATCTACAATCTGAGGTGCAGGATCACAGGAAAAATCCTGAGGGGATTTCACTGACCTTATCAGATCCAAAAGCTACAGCTCTTGTTGCATAGGTCTGGCTTTATCTTGGTCTTAACCATCCAGCAGAAAAGTATAAAAATGAAGTATAAGAAGCAAAGCCATGCTGTTATGTTGAGCTATAGGGGACTCAGGTCAACAATTTCTGACACTGCCAGTCAAGCGGATGACCCAATACTATTATGGACTACTGGACTCTTTTAGAATATTTTGCTGAGTTAACACATCTATAATATTCAAATGATGGAGCTAAACAAAAAAGGGGATACAGATGAATATCCATTTTGTATCTGTGTATTCAAAATGGTTATGATAGATATATAGTTACATTCTCTTAATGAAGAGAAGGATTTGTTCTAATAGTGTTTATAAATAGGATATCATGTCCACATATTGTACAGCAAATAACCACTAGGAAGAGGGTATGCAATGTGTTAATTATTGGAACTGTCTTACCAATTTGATTTGAAACTGTCTTATTGCTATTTGTTTCTCAATAAAATTATGCAAAAAAGTCATGATTCTAAGATGTTAAATTTCCCCTTATGATAGTTATGTAGGAGGAGATCAAGCAAGCATGCAACAATAGAGGCTAAATTATTATTATATTATAAAAACTACACCCTTGACATAATCATCTTCCCTTGAGAGTATTCTTTTGTGCCTTAATCTCGCTGATAAGGAATGCTTAGCAAACTCTGGAAAGTGAGCAAAGCACTCCCACTCCAGTACACACAGACTATTATTAACCCTTTGTAGTCATGCCTATTTCATTAAAAGAAGATGAGAACCATTTAATAACTTCATAAATACTTTCCATTCAGTTGTCCCAATGATTATGAAAATCCATTGTATTCAAAGCTAAATTCCTTTTGATCTGCTGAATCGATTTCATATCTCTTTATTTTATTAGCAATATCATCACACATGAATGTTCTTTATCAGAGTGATATTACGCTTCTATCCCTACATTAGCCAGTCATTAATATGGTATAATATGCCTTAGCAATGTCTCCAAATATTGAATGTGCTAAGATGTTTGTAGAGGTTTAATTAGAAAGGGGTTATAGTAATAATAGGGATATATAACATGCATAAAAATTAAAATATAGCCATTTTGAGTTGATTTTTTTGTGAGTCATAGAAAAAGGATCCAGTGTCATTCTTTTGCACAGGAAATCCAGTTTTCCCAGCTACATGTCTTGAAGAAATTATTCTTTCACCATTGTGTATTCTTGGTTTTGGACTTTCCATTCTGTGCTATTGACCCATATATGTTTTATACTATTTTAATAACTATAGCTTTATAATATGTATAATGTAAAACATTAAGTGTGATATTTCTGTTATTGTTTCTCAAGATTGCTTTGACTACTTAAACATATTTTAATATTGTTTTATATCTGTGAATAATATCATTTGAATTGTAATGCAACTGAGTTGATCTATATATTGTATAAAAATTTTAATATTAATTATTTTGATCTATGATTGTGGGATGTCTTTCCAATTGTTGGATCTTTAACTTTTTACATTAATGTTTATCATTTTCAGTGCAAAACTCTTTTACTTTCTTTGTTTGTTTCGAAGTATTTTATTTTTGATGCTTTCCTAAATAGAAATTTCAATTTTTT